AAAAAAAAAAAGTAAAAAAAATGAAAAATGAAAAATGAAAAAGAAAATTAAAACAGATCTGGTTGATGGATTCACTTCGGTGTCAATGGATCCCACCAAGTGGCCTGAGACGGTCTCCTGACGGTCAAGAATGCGACGTTCATAAACTGATAAATAGCCTTCTACTATCCTTTCAATTCTTCTGCAGCTGAAGCCAGAACAAAGAAGCATCTTAACTTACTTTTAACCTTCCCCCTTGAACTTTATCTGAAGCTGACAACCTTCTCATCGGTGGTCTTGGTACTTTCTTACACTTCTCTCACGACTCTCATTCACTATAGTACCTCGCCTCGCTTTACCAGCGTCAAGGAGCCTCTCTCACGGAAGTCATGGATAAGCGACCTACAAATAGGACGACGTCTTCAGCTCAAGAGCCAACACACCTCGACCTTGCGGAGTATCAGGCGGAATGGGCTCGGATTCATGAGAATACTGTCAGACAGCTTGAGCAGCTTAAAGGTGCGCATGGTTCCGTTGCAGAGCCTTTGTTGGTATTCACGCAATCTGACTCCTCTCTAGCAAACGGACAGTCTGGAAAAGGCTCAGGAGCAGGGTCCCAGAGATCTCCCTCGAATCAGTCTCCTAGCTGACAATCCACCACGACGCGATTCTCTTCACGAAAAACGTTCTTACGATGGCATCCGATGTCAGTTGAAATAAGACATCCATCATAGCGTGGCGCGTACTGGTTTTTGGGTTTAATTGCTATTGAGCCATCGACATATGCATAGTTTCATGGCGTTTGCAGGGCGAAACTTTGATATCCATCTTCCATGTTTTACTTTCCCGTGGTATCAGTGCCTTGGAACTCTCTTTACTTGATACCAATTTGCCTTTCATTGATCAAAGGTAATGCTTTAAGTTAATTCTACTTCTCCGTTTCAAATAATATCTCCTCAGTGTCTTGGGCGTATCCGTAATATTTAAACTGTTCTTTGCGACAACGGCTCATAACGCTACGAGTAGTATTCCTAAAGGTGGGTAAGAATATGGGATTTAGCAGTACGCTGTCTCTACTCTTTTCCTATGGTCACGGTATTTTTAATATTATTTATTCTTTTTAATTCTTCTACGTGTTGTCTATGAGTAGGTGTGTTTGTTGGGCTGACGGTGTGAGACTTCATCCCTAAAATTAAACACAGCCAAAAATAATTTGAGATGGGGCCATCAGGTCGGCCAGACCTATATATATTCCGCGAGCTATTAGTCTATTAGTGTTATACCTATCATCGGACCCAGCACTGTGGAAATCCAAGCCACAGAGCCACAGTTGATCTATCGGTGCAGGCCACATATCGACCCGATAGATCTTTGCTCTGCATCCCAAATCAAATACATCCCTGTTTAGTGGGAGGATGAGAGGTTCCAGACCCTAGGCGTCGGGTCTCAGACGGTGGATCTATCCATGAATGACCTGTAGATGATCCACTTCGACGGGCCCAATGTAGTTGAGGAACTTTTCTCTGGATTTCTTTGTCTCTGTTGGTCTCTCTTTCTTGTTGGGACTCTGGAGACTGTCTTTTATTTTTGTTTTTTGTTCTTATTTTTATTTTTTCCCCTCCTTTTGATTTTTCCCCTCCACCAACTTCCAGGGTTTCTTCCCGACATTATTTAGTTCCTCAACCCAGCAGCTTAAAAGTAGGAGAGTTACGAAGAACTCGAAATTTGAATGGCCGGCAGGCTTGAAGGAAAGATTTTCCCACGGCACAAACATCGCAGACTGTCCAATTGGAATTGCTTCCGCCGCAACGATTCGTACGATCTCCACATGGGCTTTTAAAAGTGGAAACGGCTCAGATTCTCCGCAAGCGGAACCTGACACATAACGATGGCTGCACATGTCTAAAACAGCTGATCTGAATAATGGTTCAAAATAGTAGACAAATAGTACCAAATAGTCATGGCACCGCGCTAGATTCTTCCGGAGTGGTATGTATCAGACGACGGGGTTTTTGTTTATGGTCCTGTCCCTCGTGAAAAGGTACATAAGGTCCTGCGTACAGCAAGCATACTACTGTACGCTTGGGGGCTTGTCTTGACAGGTGTTCAAGCCTCGATAGAGCTAACCTGGTGGCAAAAGTTTATTTATGGCTATTGTTCCCTCTTGACAGCCTAGCAGGTATCTTCCGTGTCAATGTTTCCTCCGTACTCCGTAGTATTTCTGTTCTCCCGATGAGCCATGGAATGGTTTGACCGTTCGTGGGATTGCTAGGGGCTCCATCCAGCATTCCAGTGATTGGGAGCATATTCAATGTAAGGCAACCTACTTTGAGCTCCATATCTATGCGTATAATGTCCATGGCATTCTTCATTTCATTCTCCAACCTGAAGGCAACGACAAGCGAATTGAGAATCAAAAATAAAACAAAAATAAAATAATATCGGGTACTCGCCTGGACGGTACTACAAGCGTGCTCTTGACCGCGGCTTGACCTGTATGTAGCCGTTGAATGCACACAGTGGAGTCCATATCCAATGATAGCTCGCCTCACTTTTCCCGCTCGCATCGACTGGGCGTCAACGAAGATCCGGAAATGACTTCCGCTTCCTTAGGGGTCAACAGGACACGGAGCAAGTTGGACCCCTTGTTTCTAAGCGACAGTGGCATCTCTTGGCGACTCTAGCCCGACCCTGCTGCAAGGCTTATCCACCCTCGGCCCAATTAACGTTTTTCTCCCAAGTTCCCAGACTCATTCAACTTAGCCCGAGTCGAGTCAGCATTCGTCACGGCGTTCAGATCGTCAACTATACACTTCCTTGCGATAGGTGGAACATATGCACTCTAATGGATCTCTGCTTGAGAAGCTATATTCAAGTTAACTATGAGAGAGGGCCGCTCACCTTGGTCATGGCAATCTTAGGGATGCTTGCCAACTGTCACCTATCAGCATTGCAGCCATATATTACAGCCACATTGTATTCGTTCCACTCAAGGCGCAACCCCTCCAGCCATGAAATGAGTAGAAATCGCTAGACTCGACGGTGTAATCTATTCTGTTGTGCAGTGGTTTTCTTCCGTCACTCACTCGTCTGTCCACGGTCTACTAGCAAACTAGTGCATTGGGTGCACCTTATAGCCCACAGCACGAGCTCCAAACCTAGTGTTCCCTGGAAAGCTTCAATAGTGAAAAGTAAATCAAATCGTCAATCCTTCCAGAACTGTAGAGCATATTGGTTATTCCTGTAGCCTAACGGTGGCTCCCTTACGTCGATGGTTCACATGGACGCTAAACAAAATGGCTTCGGGGCAAGGCCTATCCCGTCACCATCAGCTTTCTACCACGACAACACAGGAAGGATACCCTGAGATCTGCCCAACATTGGGCTGTCTCAATGGAAAAGCCGCTCCTCGGAGAGGATAATTTTGTCTTGGGTTATCAGAAACCACATGCCTGTTCTGGGAACTCCAAACGAGTCTTAAGATTATTGGTTCGTTGCATACACCTATGACCGTTGTATGATTAGCCTGCAGGTATGTACAGCTCAACCTATGTCTGATAGAAGTGCACTATAAATACCCAAATCTCGCGCTTGTGACCAGGGACTAGTATATGTGGTAAATGGAGCTAGCGTCAGCTTACAGGAAGCCCCGATGCCCGAACTCAGTAGTCGCTCGATCGCAATCAGGTTCTCTAAATCATCGCTCTGGCCCGGCCTACTGTGTCTTTCACTGATCATTGGATACAAGCGTCGCGTCTTATTGCACGTGTATCACAGGGCATTCGCCATTGACCCGGTCTGAAGAGGGTTTTTGAAGGAGATAGAATGCTGGTGGACATCGTGTTTCACCCATCAATGCCTATGATTCTGTTCAGTACTAGCCAGGGTGGTCTCTCTCCAGGCGACTCTTCCATGCTTATTTCAAGTTGTCAAGACTAAACCAGCTTTCCAATGAGCGTACTATTGTGACGCTATCCGCATGAGGTTCGCCGCAGGTAGTTTTATTCTTATTATCTGCAGCATTCAAGCAAGCAGGCATGTGTAGCTCCACTTTGTCTCACATAATACTATCCCTGTTGTGCAAGCGTCATCCATTCTCCTCTATTATACCTCTTCTCCATTCTTTTCCTCCAGCTGATACTTGGGTAGCTTCTCGCCAGCATGCCACCCATACTTGCTCCCAGGATGATCATCTGGGAGCCTTCGGGATCCGATGAAAACTTCTCTGGCTGTGGCGCCTTCCTTTCCTACCGCGCTTCGGAACCGTCCTCTTCGTCGCAACTCAGGGAGTAAGTATTCTATAATGTCCTCAAACGTCCCCGGGTTGGTAATGTGAGCCAGGTTAAAGCCATCTACTCCTGACACGTCTACCCATCGTTCCAGCTCGTCAGCGACGGTTATGGGGCTCCCGACGACTTTCGCTCCAAGTCCCCCAACACTTAAGTACTCGACAATTCGCCTCTTCGTCCAAGGAAGATTGTCAGTCCCGGGCACGGTAGCAGACCATCGCCTTACAATCGACTGAACACGCGGAGATTCGCTAAATCGGAAGTCCTCGTCATCGGTGTAGCCTGAGAGATCGACTCCGGTCCACCCACCAAAGAGCGCCAATGCCCCCTCTTCGTCCGCATACCTGAGATACTCCTCCCGCTTTGCCTTTGCCTCCTCATCGGTCGCGGCGACAATGGCGTTAATACCAACAATAACCTTAATGTGGTTGTGGTCGCGTCCTTCCTGTGCTGCAACTTTGCGAATATTGTCCACCGTCACCCGGACGCCTTCGGGTGTTTGGCCGCCGACGAAGATCGCTTCCCCATGCTTTCCTCCGAAGCCGTTTCCAGCTTCCGAAACGCCGGCTTGAAAGAGAAATGGCGTGCGTTGTGGTGAGGGTTCGCAGAAATGGGGTCCAGGTACGTCGAAGCACTTCCCTTTATGATGTATCTGTCGCACCGCATCACTGGCGATATATACCCCTTGTTCGCGATCATCTAGGACGGCGTCATCTCGAAAGCTGCCTTCCCAAAGCTTATAGAGAACTTCCATATACTCGTGCGCGATCGCATACCGTTCGTCATGAGGAATCTGCTCCTTGAGGCCGTGGTTGCGAGCCGCACTGTCGAGATAAGACGTGACAATATTCCAGGCGAGACGCCCTTCGCTGAGGTGGTCTACTGTGGATAGTCGGCGGGCGAGTGCATATGGCTTTTCGTATGTTACGCTCGCAGTCACGCCGAAGATCAGATTTTTGGTGACTGCCGCCATGGCTGGGACCAGGTACAGTGGGTCATTGACCGGAAACTGTGCCCCAGATGCTAATGCAGGGACTACATTGGCTGGACCCTTGTATACGTCGTATGGGCCCAAGGTATCAGCGATGAACATGGCATGGAACCCTGCATTGTCGAGCAATTGCGCTAAGTCGGTCCAAAACGACAGTTTCTTGTACTGGTCGGTCTTGTTTCTCGGGTGTTTCCACAACCCCGGCGCCAGATGGCCCGGGGTGTTCATCACGAAGGCATTCAATATGATCTGTTTCGTATTATTGTTGATGTTTGCCATCTTGGTTGGCTTACGGAGTCTGCGTCTATTCAACCGGTATACGGGAGCGGTGATAGAGGACAAACTGAGGACCCACTAACACACGAGCAAAGCTATGCAAGAGGATTGAGCGGTACACATTCTTGTTTTATCTTATTGTTTGCTTCTCGTGTCATTTTGGGGCCGCTGCCGTTATCGCGATTCATCGGGTGGTGCCGCACGAGTCGTCATAGCGCCCTGCAGGCACGCAATCCCATCCATGCATTGCTCACCTCAATTCGCGTTTTCTTTGGCTAAGCTCGCCTAAGCTCTGCACTACCTCCCATCCACA